AGTTCAATAAAAAATTATTATTAAATTACTTAGATCGCTGACTATTCACCTAATTAGTTAAAATCGATAGATAAGTGATAATTTCAAACATCAATAGAAAATTGTCCTAGAAGGTAAAAACTTCCAAGGCCGGATTGAATGGAACTGAAACGAAGGTGGAATATCCAATGAAAGACTTTCTTCTTAAAGTGGGCCGGTCCAAATCTCTCTTTCCATGGGCTTTTAATTCACTGTCCGTTCCTAGTCCACAATCAAACAAATTTTACACGTGTCAAGATGCCAATTGTGTTTAGGTTTTAATTCTGTCCAATTCAGACATTCCCTCGGAGTGGATAAGGGAATTTGATTCTCCATTTCATGAGGCGTTCTTGGCCAAGCTCTGGATCAGCTCATCTATGGCTCTTACCGTCTCTTCCACTGCATTCTCAAGCCTCCCGATAAGGTCATTCATGCTTACTTCTGAGATCCACCCGAGCCAATTTTCAGAATTTCAAGTGTTGGGATTGATTTGTGTTGATTTAAATTACAGGGATAAGTTTCGAACATCATTTGGATGGAAACCGACGGTCGACGTAGTCCATTGCCGGAGGACTTATCTAAATGCAACGAAAGGAGTTTCAAGTGTTTGTGAACCTCTCCCTCCTGATAGACCCTTGTGGTTCCCTGGTAGCTCTCCTCCTCCCTGGCTCGACGGCAGGTAAAATTTTGTGTCCTGTAACTTCTGTTTGGCCTCTGAGAAAATTAGACTCGTAAAACGGAAATGAAGCTTGATTTCCTTTATATATTCTTAACTGCAGTCTCCCTGGAGATTTTGGGTTTGACCCACTTGGATTAGGTACGTGTTTATTTCATTGTGTTGCTAATATTGACTCTGCAATTGGGTTCGTATTTTATCCCAATTTCAATTTTTTTCAGGGTCGGATCCGGAGTTGCTCAAATGGTTTGCGCAAGCTGAGTTAATGCATTCACGATGGGCAATGCTGGCGGTGGCGGGGATTCTGATACCGGAATTGCTGGAAAAATGGGGGTTCATCGAGAACTTCTCATGGTACGACGCCGGCGCTCGGGAATACTTTGCTGATCCAGTAACCCTGTTTGTGGTGCAGATGGTGTTGATGGGGTGGGTTGAGGGGAGGAGGTGGGCTGATATGATCAAGCCAGGCAGTGTAGACATTCAACCAAAACTTCCCCACACGAAGAACCCGATACCGGACGTTGGGTATCCGGGTGGCCTGTGGTTCGACCCAATGACGTGGGGAAGAGGGTCGCCGGAGCCGGTGATGGTGCTGAGGACTAAAGAGATAAAGAACGGACGTCTTGCTATGCTGGCATTTGTTGGGTTCTGCTTCCAGGCTGTTTATACAGGAGAAGGCCCCATTGAGAATTTGATGGCCCATGTTGCAGACCCTGGTCACTGCAACATTTTCTCGGTACCAATCTTTTTCATCCCTTCAACAATCTCATATTAACTTTAATTTCACCACTCCAAATTTCATATTTGAATCTTGCACATAAAAGAATTCAAAATCATATAACTTTGCCTTGCAGGCTTTCACAAAACATTGATTGTGGTGATGTAGATGACTTGAAGATCAAGCAACAGAGAACACTGTGATTAGGAATTGCACACTTTCAACATTATCCGAGTGAACCGTTCATAGCAAGAATCCAATAAACTGCTGCCTTTTTTTTTTTTTTCAATTCTAATTGCTTGTTTTTCTATCCTCCCAATCCAAAACAATGTCACTTGAGGATGGGATACAAATTCATGTAACAATTTTAAGCTGTCAATCGAGTGTTCAAAAATTATTTTACTCAGTTAATATGTTCATTGAGAAGCTGAGAATGTCCTTTTTTTTTTTTTTTTCAAAAATGGTGGAGGCTGAGAATTTTATTCGGATTGTTTATGAGTCTCCCATAGAAATTGAACCTATTGATATCAGAGGCAAAAACTGTACAAAAAATTGTTACATGGGATAATTCTAAATTTTAGATGAATTGCTCTTATTTAATGATTTTAATTAGCACAATTGAAATTGCATTATAAATAAAATAAAAATATGTCTAGTTTCATTTTAAAAAAAATAAAAATGGACTTCAAAATATAAATATGATGGCTTCATTTGTCTGTCTTACTAATTTTTTTATTATTATTTCATACGTTATTTAAAAATATAAATTATATATATTTTTAAATAAAAA